AAAACCCAAACAAAAATCCAAAAAGCACAGGGATCATTTTCTATTACGGTACTTTTGAGCAATTATTGAGGATGCATTCACCGTAGAGTTTCACATTTGAAAACAATCAAACAGTTAAGATTGTTCTTTAAATGTCAGCCAGTCATTTGGATAATTCAAATAGCTCTTTAAATTCTCCAGTCTAGCTGCTCATATCAGGGTCTTTATGACTTTTAAACAATGATAAACAATAATAAAAAATAAAAAAAAAGGAGAAAAAAAACTACTGTGGTTGTTTGAAGTGGCCCAGGGAATGTTTCTGTGGAGGCCATGAACAACATGGGTGCTTATGTGAGGTCAGATCAGTAATGCAAATAAATACACCTCTATATACACTTTACTCTTAATATCACCTCTAAATGACCATATATAACTCAGTAAATAAGGCATCTAAAAGGCCAGCGGTACAAGATTGGCCGCCAGAGTGTAATCACAGAGTTAGAAAGAATAGAATGAACAGTTTCCCTTCTTCCTTTTGTACAATTCAGTTTACTTCAATTTAAAATATACACTGTAAACAATGAGAAAGCAGAACAAAAATAAACCTGTGTATGTATATATTTTTTTATTGTGGACCATTTTCTGAAACCAGACTTAAAACTAGAAAAGCAGTCAGAAAGCGCAGACCTCTGCCAAGTAGCTAATTTCATCCGATATATTATGACTTCTATCATAAGTACCTGTGTTCACAAAATCTTTTAAAAATATTCCTGGATCATGATTGTGATCAGGAAAATCACCAAAATTTATCTGATTGAATCCTCGGACTGAAAGGGAACTTTTAAACTGATACTACTGTATATATAGAAGCTTTGTCACTACCTGATCCGTACTGGAAGCACGAGCCGTAACACCAGCTCATTTGCACCTGTGCATCCAGAATTACATTCGGGTGACCCTCGATTTTATTTTGTAAAAAAGACTTAAATTATGCTTTTCCTTCTTGAGAAAAGTAAGTGTACTAAACCTGAGGTCTTCAAAGTTTTCCAGGTCAAGGACCCCCAAACTATTGCGAGATGGAGCAGGGACCCCCTGATTATTGATATTGTGTGAAAGTGTGTGATATCAAACTGGTCCTATAGTCACCCTATTACAGATGGAGTAATGTAATGAAAGTAATTTCGCCCTGGGAAAGTATTTCCGATTGTGATTCCTGGTTGATGGGACAGGTGTTGTGAATGAAACGGTGCCCAGCTTGAAAGAGCTCCTGTGTGTCGCTGAATGTGTGCATTGATGACTGAAAGAAATATTCTGCCTCCATTTATCTGTTTACTACAGTGTGTTGAATTCATGTTAATGTGGATTTAAAGACATTTCAATAAGTGGAAAAAAATTGCAGGGGGGAATATAAAACCCAAACAAAAAAACTGTCTAATCAACCAAAACTTTTGCGACCCCATGCAGTACCTCTGTGGCTCGCGAACCCCCTGTTGAAGACCTCCGTACTAAACTATGTGTTAAAGGTTAATAATGTATTTCCTAAGAAAATAAATGCATTAAAGTTCTTTAATTTTTATCACTTGTCTGTGCTATGCTACTTCTGGGAGCTAACTTTTTTGACCTTGGATTTAAACATAAATCTAGTGTTTTAGAGTTTTATTTTTTCCTTTCATGTTGAACTTATGTTATATTGTGCATACAGTATATAGTATATAGTGCATTTCTAAAGCAAGAAAGAACTAAAAGATAAACATGGTTTGAGCTCTGAGCATGTCTGATGATGACGTCAGACAAGCTGTTTACTGGAGAAAATTTTAAAAGCATCCAATTGTCTCAGGAAAGTCATAAAAGTTGTTTTTAAAGATTTGTATTAGCATTCTTTAGTGATTTAAGGATAGAAATAAGTACTTTTAGTACCATCATTACATTATTAATGGCGACCTGGATGAATATCTGCTTGCACAGGCTCAAATGAGCCGATGGTACGGATCGTGCTTCGGGTATGGATCGGGCAGTGACAGTCTGCTTGCAGACATGTTGGTGTAGTCTACAAACCAACATGTCTGCATGTCTTCTATTATTCTGGTTTCACTATTATCCGTAATTGAATAATCTATCATTTTTAAGCTATTGGTATACTTCTAATCCTTTATGTAGCTCTCTGTTATCTAGCTAGCAGAAATACTTAAAATGCTTAGAACAGCTAAAATGTGTATTATAGTGTTTAAAATGTGTTTCCTATGCTATCTTATATATATGTATAATTATATACTGCATTTGCATGTTTTCTGTAGGACTAGTCTATTTCAAACGGAAAGCTGTTTTATTGTTGTAGCCAAGTAGAAGGTAAGGGGCTCCCCTAAGAAATGTGGTTTCAGTATTGATTTCTTTTTATCCATCTTGATTTTTTTTTATGCCCGAAGTGGTCATAAAAAAGTAGTGCTTTATTAAGGAATGGCTGGAAGCACAGGGAGTGATTACAGTTTAAGGTTGATATGCATTTGAAACAAGCCAGAAAGTTCATTCTATTCTTCTAACACTGTCATAAAAACTGCAGTCACTGTCTCTTTCAAAGCTGAAGCTTTTCTCTTTGCTACATTCCTTTGTTCAAACTATGAATCGCCTCACCTTCACCTGTATGACACACCCCTGAACATAAACTTCAAAAATCTCTTTTTCATATTAAAAGCACATCAAAGTCATCATTGTTATCATTACAAACATTCTAATATTGGAAATTAACACTGTACATATTTTACACTATGATACAATCGAATACTGTACTTTATGTCACTGTTGGTCCTAAAGATCGCCACATTAATTAGGACTGGGTTTTGGAGAACACTAAATGCAAATTCAGTGCCTTTAATTTAGTGCACATAAGAGGGTCCCTCAACATCTAATTGTGTAATTAATGAAAACATCAACAGACATATTTGCTTATTTTTGTAAACATTGTATTGTAAATTTGTAAGCATTGGACGGTGACTGAAGCTAAATGATAAAAACAGCTCTGTAACTAGAGTGAGAATGTACACAATGCACAAATAATGCTTATTTGTTATCCAAGATTTACCCTCTTATGGTGGCACATCAGATATTTAACACTTCACCTGGTCGATAAAGGGACAATACTATCAAGCAATGATGTTAGAAACACACAACTCTACAATCATTGTGACAGTACTGTGAAGCATCCAGGCATAAGGACAGAGAAAATAAAAGTGCAGAGCTAGAATTAAGGTATGTCCTCGAGATTAACTTTTCATATTTCTGTACATGGCACAAACCCGTAAAATCAAGCTAGACGTTCTCAAAGGTGTCACTGGCTTGCATCACCTTCGCTCCTCACAGACACTCGTCTTAAAACACCTGAAACATTGGAAGGCTTCATCCTAAACTGAGTTATTCCTTACATTATGTTGTAAAACATATATACTTTGCATTCCTTGCAAAAGGATTCATACCAATCCATTGAAATCTTTCACATTTTGTTACCCCACAGCCACAAACTAGTTCAGGGTTCAGTACAGGGTTCCTGTACCTTTTATTTGTGTCTCTGCTTCCACATCTGAAAGAAATGGCTGGATTACCGCCTCGGCATGCAGCCAGCTTATCCAGAGTCCTTTCAATGATCTGATTATTTGACTTGGATGTGTGAGATACGTCTAAAAGGTGCAGGACGTTGGACCTTAATGACTGTAAATGAGGAACCCTGTAACAGCATTTAAAAGGACTGACACACAGTGTGAGAAAAATAAAAGCTTTTTACGATTTGTTTTTCACAAGTAGAATCTGAACAACATAGCAGGCCATATGATGCAGCTGTATTATGCTTTAAGTGTCTTAAATAGTTTCCTGTAATCTTTCAAATGCCTGGTAGCTAGAAATATAGGGACAGCCATTAATAATTTGCTTTAGGAATAAAGAAAGCTTTGTGTAAAGGCTAGGAACTGTAAATCAGCCAAAATACTTCCTACCTATATGGAGAAATCCATCTAGAGGACATATATAAGTCACTCAATGTTCAAATATAATCCTAATGAAAGAGTGACTAAAAAAAGCTGTTTCAAGTCAGGTTTGCAGTTTGCCACAAGCCATGTACAGGACACAACAAACATGTGGAACAAAGCACTAATGATGATGAACCCAGCTTTTTTGCCAACATAAAAAAAGGCTTTTTGTGGTAGAAATGTAAATGTTGTAAATTAACCTGAATACACTAGTCCCTCTTTTTCCCCAATGATTCATAAAACCCAGTTTTAACAAAGCATTGACTTAGCAGGACTAAAAACAAATTCTTATCAGACGTTTTATTTTATTTTTAAAGACATGTAAAAAGCCTTATATTTTGTCCCGTTCCACTTAACAACCGTCCACAAATTTTCATTAGGTAGTTAGATAAAAGCCCAAAACAATACATGAAGCTGTGGTTGATGTGAAGAAACTGGTATGAATACTTTTGCAAGGCTTTGTAAACTATGCTTATTCTGGAAAAGATATCGGAAGAGTAGCATTTCATCATGTTCTGTAATTTCTTTGCGATCTGTAACATCATACAGTAAGTGCACATAAACAGGCTTATGTATTCTGGATCCACTCTCTATGGAAGTGTGTCTGAGAGACTGTCTAAGGAAGCCCTTGTCCTGGCCAAATAGACTATTAAAATATACTTCCGTCATACACAAGCTAGCATAATTTACATCCCCCTTTATGTCTACAGGTCCATTTAGTTATCTCCCCACTCCCCTCACATTCATGTCATCCATAATCTCTTAGCTTTCTGTGAGCTGACACCAGTGGAAGAGTTCATACATATACGACAATTGCTGTTAACACAGTGCAACCACCGATACAAACATTAGGTCCATCTCTATGCTTGCGGCATACATAGCCAGTATAAACATATATCTACACATCTTATGACCCTTTTAAACCCTTCATTAAAAAACGGTAAAACAAACAAAATGATGGTAAAACTAACTATACACCTGACAAACGGTGGTGAGCACTATATTCAGTTTTTAGTCAGTATGTTATTATTTTTTTTGCTTCTTTTTCGTTTATGTTGACATGACATGAAATGATCTTTGTGTGCAGCTTTGATGTCTGTCTGCTGCCCCATCTTGGTGAGCGGCATCGGACAGAGTCCGAGTGTCGAAGTGCCCGTCCAGGTTGGGAATTAGGGGAGGGTGAATGAGTCAAGCGTCAATGTTGTCTCCATCTTAGTGTGTCTCAAAAAAATCAATAGAGACCCAAGCACATAGTATCCATTACAGCTCCATTTCAGCGGGGGGAGACTCCTTACAAGAGCGTCCAGTTCCACTCTGTCTCTCTTTGTGTTTATGTGGACACTGTTATACTTGGACGTGTGTCCCCTGGGCTTGCAGGCTTTGCACACTGGATAGAATCTTCTTCTGGTGGCCAGCAAGCGTCACTCCCATCTTAGTCAGCTCACTAAAAGGAAGATTAAAAGAATGCAAGCAAAAGGATTATAATGCTATAAATAGTAAAAAGGTTTTATAATGCAGGGAAAATCCTGCACAGCAGCAGTTAATATTGGTTTTAACTTAGAGTGCACTGCTCAGGCTTTTTTACTGTCAGTTTCACGATTTGTTTGAGGTCTGATCTTCTCATTTAGATTTTCACTGTTTGAAATGTTTATCACTAAAACATATAATACATGAAAAAAAATATATATAATAGAATAAATAATAATAATGACATTACTCCATAAAAGGACATGTTTTTGCTTGACAGATTTATAGACAGGAAATTTTGCAATTATTCTAACAGTCACCAATCAGATGCTATTAAGAAAATCCATCTCAGAGCAATTGGGTGGTGAGAATTTTATTTAAAACCAAGGTTTAAGACTTAAAATGAGAATTATAGGATTATAAAATGACTCTACTTAAATTTAAAAAGGATAAGATCTCATGTGATTGTACCTCACACTGATGTATAGGATGGAGTCCAAGCTGATATATCCAGCACTGGAAAAGTTCTCCTTGTACTGGCCCATTTTGATGGTGTCCAACAAATCATCCACAGTGCTCACGCTGAACTCTGGTGTGGGTGGGTCCTCCCTGCTGAGATGGTAAGCAAACTTGAATATAGCTGTGACTAAACAGAGTTTATGTTATTAGAAGTTAGAGAAAATACAAAATAACCCAAAATGCAGGTTTACAGAACATTTGAAAATTTTTACCCAACTAGGGATGCATTATATTAGTGGCATGATATTGGCATTGACCGGTATTAGGTTTAAAATCAAATATTAAGAGTTGGGCATATTGGAAATATAACTTACTGATATAAGGCATTAGGATTATTGTTTATTTATTTATTTATTTTTTTCAGTACTAGTGGCTTGTTTATTGTAAAGAGACAGGATAAGGGGTACAAGAGATGGGGGGGGAGACAGGCGGCAAAAGACCACTGGCCAGATTTAAAACCGAGCCAACCACGTTGAGGACTAAGGCTGTCATACATGGGCCTGCTGCACTAACCAATGCACCACCTAAACATGTCAACTTAGGATTATTTTTAATGACTTTGGAGGTTAAGAGGAGGAAAACAACTCCAATAAAAACATACTTTTTGATTAATTAAAATCTGAGGTTATGGCTTATATCGTCACAGGGAAGTCTGTAGACTTGCCAAATGGGCAGCAGACAGTCAGTGACACCCTCCACAAGAAGGGTAAGCCACAGAAGCTCATTGCTAAAGTATCTGGTTCTTCACAGAAAGAACAAATCAGTGTGGTACAAAAAGGTGAACAAGTAACAGGGATTACAGCCTCCTTGACAGGATTTTGAAGCAAAGCCAATTGAAGGGTTTGGGGGAAACAAGTTATAGAGTGCAGCTCTAGATGTAGCTTTAAGAGTCAGCACAGGTGTAACCAGCATGTGGGCTAAAAATGTGCCAGTTCTCCTGAACCAAATCAACAACAGAAATGTTTTAAATTGGGAAAAGGGGAAAAACTTGATAGTCTTGGTCCAAAATTATCTTTTTATATGGAAGTGAAATTTTGCACATCTTTTGGAAATTAAAGTTTTCAAAACAGGACAAAGACAGACAAGATACAAAATCCAAAATTATCTAAATTAATTATGATGTTTTTGGTTGGTTTTAAGAACTATTTATATATTGCTAATTATTAACTATATTCTTCATTGCAATAAAACATATATTCTCCATTTGATGGAGCAGGGAGCAATGTTGCATTAAAGGTCTTGCTCAGGGGCCCAGAATGGTAGTGTGTTGGGATCAAACCAGCTTCTTCAGCCTACTTCTGAATGCAAGTGCTCTGCTCTGACCTTAAGGCCACTATCCCCCTTACATTATTCAACACTTTCCAGTGACACTGTAGTAAGCACCTGTTGTGTTTGTTCCAGGCGTTTTTTTCCTGCGCTAATGTAAAATTGCAACAGTCAGTGGCTTGGGGAGTTATGTCTTCTGCTTGTAGCGGATCATTGTGTTTTATTAAGTACACAATAAACACAGCTGCCTATTCGTAAATTTTAGAGAACTTCATGCTTCACTCCACTGAAACACGTTATGGAGATGCTTATTTCAACTTCTAGCAGGACTTGCAACTGAACCCAGAGTGTCCAAGGACTCTTACCTGCTGTAACGGTACAACTCCAAGCTTGCCTGATCTAAATCTTAGGAATTGATGGAGTATCCAAAACACTGATACTGTGAGTTGTGGAAAAGGACATAAGGACATATACGTACTGTACAGCAGTGATGTAAAAAGTGGGTATGCATGATACACATAGCATAGGGGGTACCAAACTAGAGGGGCTGCCAAAACAATGACAGGGCAATCCTTTTTGGACAGCCATTATAGCATTTTACAACTGCTTTCTGAATGTGGTATGATCAGTAACAGGAGCATGTCACTGAATATACCTCCCTATGATCCTTCACCTTTCCTTCTTTATGCGCCCTTCTTGATTTCATCCAATGACAGGTAGCTAAAGCTGGAGAGACATAAAGAAAGCTCTCATGGCCGGAAAAAAAAGAGAAGGGGATAGAAAGAAAGATAAAGACATTTTAGGGATGAATGAAAATTTTAAAGTGAGCGCAAGACAGGGGAGAGTTCTTGTAAATATTAGCTAAAGCTACTGCTGGGGAAGTGACAAGTTACTGTTGCTTTGCAATTCTGTAGGGGAAGACGGGGGATGTTCTTTCCAGAGAAAAAGAAAACAGATTATACAACTGCTCCAGGATTTACTGGAGAAATACTGTTTTCAGGATATTATTCTGCTTTGGGTTTTTTTCTTCACATTTTTGTCAGTTTTCGTCATTAAGCTCAAGCCAACTTGGTTGAAAGGTTCAGGATCAATTGCAACATCTGACTGTTGGCAATCAGCGACTAAATCGTTAATGTCTCTTTAACCAGTTTAGATGGGGTTGACAATCAATGAGCAGAAGTTAATTTTTATGATTTTTTTTTCAGGTACACTCTATCTCTGTCACTGGTCACCCTTATTAGTAATTTTCAAACCTCATCATAGGGCCCTGTCACACCTTGCTGATTTAGGCAGCATATGCCCATTGCCAAAAATCTCCTAAAATGCTGGCATACACTCAGCTTTCTATGTATTTTTTCCAAGTTTGGGCATATACATACCGTATTCATAACGAATCCAGAACTTCATTGACAGCCTAACTTATGTATAACGCATGGCAGGCCAATGCCCATGAAATTATCCACAAACATCATTATATGGGCATTACAAAGCATCAGTTAAAGCTGCTTCCCTCAGGTGCCCGGTCAGCATAAAAGCATGCCTTTGATCGTGGTATTAGCCTAGCTGCTGTTTACCGCCTGCCCCCCAAAAAAGAGAATAAATAAAAAGAAAAAGAAAGAAAGCAAGTTTGCAGTCGCAGCAGAGTCAGTGTCATGTCTGCTAGGAAGATTGTTGCTCATGGCTGTTGGCGTGAAGGCAGTGAGGATCCATCACACCCACCTTTTCCCTCATCCTACGATGGGGATACAGTCTGGAGTTGAACTGACGGTTTCCTCCTACGAACCCCCTTTTATACCAAAACGCTGCCAATACGACATTATAAGTCATCTAGAACACGTCAAATACGTTGATATGCGTTGGAGATAAGATCTTAAGAAGTTACGTGTAAGTTATGCACAAGCTACTCATAGGCTTTGGATAAGCTTGACAACAAAGACTTATGAGTAACTTACACTTAACATATGTCAACGATCAGATAACTTACCTGTAACTTATGCCGCATGCATGGCATACGCTGGCATATGTCTTGGCATACTTGCCAAATATCGACGTGTGCCAGCGTACTTCAGAGTACTTCAGCCTGCTTAGAACTTATACAAAATGCATCCATAACTTCAAACATATGCCAGCGTTTCTGCCAGATTTTTCATATGTCAGGCATAACATCAAGGTGTAACAGGGGCTTTAACAAGAAAAATAGGGGAGCTTGTTGTGCTTATTTAATTTTTAGTATTTTTTTTATTATTTATTTATTAGATGAAGAGTGAAAACATTAAGCAGATACATTGGTGAACTTGGTAGTAACTCAGTATTTAAATCTCTTCACTCAGATACAGCACCATGTGAAGGCGGTATCCAAAAGGTAACTGTTATTCAACAAAGATCAAATTTGAACTTCAAATGTCATTTTATTATATATGTGTCTGGTTTATTTAACAAATACTCCACAGCAAATTACTGTAGCTACATACAGCAAATGGAGGAAAGAGAAGAAGAGAGAAAGGAATTGGGAAAGGAAGGAATTGGGATGGACAGAGGAAGGCAGCAGGTTGATCTGATAATAGGTACAAATTTACAGCTTCTTAATAGCAAGTTTTATTTTTATTAGTGGCAGGACACAATTCAAAGTTTGGATAAAGTTAATTACAGCGTCTGTATCTAATTAACCACATTTTAATAGAAAATCATATTTCAACAAAACTTTTCTATTCTATTCTCTATACATGAGACGTGCGTGCTAAACACAGAAGCAGGCCAATTTAGGATTATTTTGAAGGACTTTGCGGGTAAGGAGGAGGACAACAATTCAGTGTGTGTAAGTATTGATATTGGTTATTATGTATCCCTACATTAGACCAATAAAAGCATACTTTTTGACTAATTGAAATCTTAGGTCACAGGGAACTCGGCAGACTTGCCAGCTTGCAGCAGACAGAGAAATGCAGATAAGAAAGAAGATATACAGAAAGTCTAATAAATGTCTTGTATTCAGTAGTCCATGAATGACTGAGATATATATACACATGTAAACATAAAAATAAAATAAAATCTAAGGGGGTCGGGTGACCTAAAAAGTTTCTGCATACCCCACAGAAAATAGGTAATGGTGGCCCTTCTGCACAGAAGATGGGAGTACTTTAAGTTTTTGTAGGTCCTAATTTCTGTGTAATTTTTTTCTTAAGGGTCTTATGTCATATTTAATTTTCTGAGAAACTGATTAAGAGGAAATACAAGCTTCAGACATGTAAAAATCTGTGTAATGTTTTAATTTTTTTTCTTTTATTAGAAAAATAGCATATTACCCTTTTCTATTTTATAAAAATGTTCATGTTATGCTCCTAACAAAAAACACGTAACTATTGATTCTGCTTACTTAAATCTTTATTGTCTCTACAAAAATAAAAACAACAAAAAAAACCCCAACAAAATCCTGCATCAAACTTCTATCAATGGATAAATATTATCTACGATTTGTAGTCTTTGCTTCTTACACAACCTTTTGAGTTACTTGCTTAGATTAATTAATTATAAATTTCTTAAAATTATCATAGAGTTCATTAATTTATATAAAACCTTGAAAAATTATTTATGGAGTGCAAACAGAAGCACATTAATTGGGAATACAACCCTTAGAAAGATTGGGTTTATGTGCTTTGAAAGCATCCTGAGTTAAAAAAAAAAAAAAAAAAAAGAAAAGTTTCATTTTTATTCGTATGCAGGAATCTGTGGTTTGCAAATGACTTAAACTTGGGATTAGATTTTTTTTTTATATATATCATTCCAAAACCTGGATAGCATTATAACATAAACATAACGTGTTTAAATTAGAGGTTGTATCTTATATTTTATCTGTACTGCATTATTCCATCACATAATTTTTAATCTAAGGCTGTTGGTCCTTCAGTTCATTTAGTCTCTTCTAAACTCCCCGGAGATTAACCCTTTTTTTTAGCTTTTCTGTCTGATACCTTGTGCTGAGCTTTGTATTTTTCCCACCTTATGTTTAGAGTGTTTGTCTGTGAAAAATATTTTTTGTATGCTGCACTGATTCTGAGCATCAGCTAAGCGCCTGAGGTGTAAAATGTAAATGTAAAAATAATGATATTCTCTCAAAGCGTGCAATTCAGCTGGGGATTCAGAAAGTCTAAATTGAACAAGTAGAGGGAAGATATGCCAGCCCCCAAACTTATATTCTTCCATTTGCAACTTTCAGAACTAGATATTATGTAGAAAAACAACTTTAAAGAATGCAATATATATTTTAAAAATGTAATTCCTTGTTTACAAATCTCCCAATATTTCTTTAGCATATTTAATGTGTACATTGTCCAATACCCCAATCCCACCAGAAAATTATATCTGTGAAACTGTCTGTTTTACTGACCATGCTGAGCTGTTGGCCAGCTCTCTGAGACTGGCTGGGTTTCTGATGAGCTTGTCCAGGATTGTGACAATCTGTCCAAACTTTGGCCGGTCACTGCGCCCCTTCTCCCAGCAATCCAACATGAGCTGGTGCAGCACCACTGGGCAGTCCATAGGAGCAGGAAGACGGTAACCCTCGTCTATTGCTTTTATCACCTGTACAGAGATGAAGAAATACATTTTATGATATTGGATTACTCAAGATGAGTGCATTTTGTATTTTAGAAACATGCTGATAAAAATGCAGCAAAGTTTTATTTCTATTTCGAAGGTTATGGACTCACGTCTTGGTTGGACATCTCCCAGTACGGTCTCTCCCCGTATGATATAACCTCCCACATGACAATACCGTAACTCCAAACATCGCTGGCTGAAGTAAACTTCCTGTAGGCGATGGCCTCTGGGGCTGTCCATCTAATGGGGATCTTTCCTCCCTGGAAGGCAAAGACATAAACAAAATACTCTGGTTAGAGTGCTAAAACCACGTTTACTCTTGACTTTTTTTAGGCCAAATTTAACTTGAAAAATAAGAACATACAGAATCAACATGATATGGATGACAGGGATTCTAAGCATAACCTTACTTTCTCTTTGTTTTTTTGTTGGTTTAGCAATCTTAGCTCCTTCCCAACAATCAATCCCAACATTGAGCAAGAACCTTTACTTCTTTTTGTATTTACATATAGAATATATTACAAATGTAATCATACAGCCTAGTATTTTTAAACCAAACCCTTTGATCACAAATGGCTGTTAATTACAATGGGACAGAAGAAATTAGTCTTTATATTTTTTGCAACATGTTTTTTTGCAATTTGAAAAGTTTGTCGTGCCGTTGTACTACAACCTCCATTGTCATAAAAAAACAGAAATTTTTTTGTTGCCTTAAAATGTGTTGTTGCTGCTCATCTACACTTTGCATCTCTCCGTTTTCTGTGATAGCAGCATTTATTATTTGCAGTATTTTTCTTCTCATGTATTCTGTGTCAGTCTGACAAAGATTTTCAGCAGTATTTCTTGAATTTATTGTAAATTCATGAATTTGCACACTTTTTGTACCCTTTAGCCATTGTCAAATTCATTGGTGGATTATAACCACAGGAGATATTAATGACTGTCAAGGCTGGGTGGAGGTTGGTTGAGGACCCGAATGCAAAGAAGAGTTCTTGCACATTTAACTTGGATGCAGATGGCAACAGAAACCCAAATCCAGGATCAAAAAACAAGAAATCCAAACCAGAAGACGGCAGGGGGAAAACACACAAGAGGATTGAAGCAATGAAGAGAAACCGGCACTGAGGAAAAGCAAAGGAGGTGTACTGTATATATATGGGAGACAGAACAAAGACTGGGGTAATCAGCTGACATGGAGCAGGGGTGGATAGAAGTAACTAGAAGCTAGGGTAGGGTTCGGCAACCCAAACTGCTCAAAGAGCAATATTGGACCAAAAAAACAAAAAATAAATCTGTCTGGAGCCGCAAAAATGTAAAAGTCTTCTATCAGCCTCGTATGACAACACGGCTGGAAGTGTATTAGCCCACTATAAAAAAAGAACTATGTGGGCTTAAATATACAGTATTATAAGTATTCATGATTAAATGTTTATCCTGGAGCAAATTTCACATAGTAGCAGGAGATGAGGGAGGAGCAGTTAATGCTCTCACCGCGCGCTGCTTCACCACCCTTTACTGCGCAGTTTAAGTTTTGTTTCATCAATGAAATTATAAAAAACACGATAAAGGAATTGAGGTGTTTGTTGGGAGGAGTCGATTGAGTCATCCTTGCATCAAAGCCCTACCTGTTTGATCTGTGGACAGTTTTCCATCCTTGCAACTAAACTAGCACCAGTAGTGGAGTTTGGAGATGCAATCCAGTTCTTAAATCTATCTTTGCGCTCCTCTAATTTATCAAGAATGTTCTGCAATCGCGCTTTTTCTCTCACTCCCAGCTTGGTGGTCGGCTGCATATTTAGCATGCCTTCCCTGGAAATGCCTTTCCAAATTTTTTATTTTTTAACAACCTCTCATTACAAAGCAAAAATGCAGGAAATCCTTCCGCATTGATAATGAAAGCAAATGATTTGAATCCTCTTTTCTCATCAGCTATCTTTTTTTCCATTTGGAATCCATGGTCCAAGACACACCCGCAGCGTGGCAACGTGCCACACTGGTTGCAAGTTCTGACCACTGATCTCTATGGCTATGACGCAAATTATTGTTTAAACTTATTTATTATACAAATGTTTACAGCATTGGAAATCACAATATTTTTTTGCTTTAACCTCGTGCTCACCATATTAACCCATTTAGGCCGGGAAAGCATTACCGCATTTCTACCATTCAAGGCGGGGGCGCTGTTGCATAATTCTACCATTGACGCCGGGAGAGCATATAAGTCAAGCAAGAAGAAAGAAGTTTTTTTCAAGCAAACATGGAGGAGTTTGACAGAGAAGAGTTGTCGGAAGGCAGTGATTTTGAGGAGTGTGTCAGCTTTGATGACGGTATAGATGAAAATGATGACTTTGAACGCGCTGAACAAATCGACCGGGATTTGTGGTTAAGACATATGTTCGAAGACGACGAGCCGGACGCTAGCGACGATGAGTTTGAAAGTTTTGATAGTGACTGGAAGACGGAGAACTACCACCGCAATGCACGGAGTGTTTTCAACCGCACACCTGGAGTGAAAGTTGATTTGCCTGCAGACGCCACACCGCTGCAGGCATTTGAGCATATTTTTAATGAAGAACTTTGGATGCATCTTGTTACCGAGACGAATAGGTACAGTGACCAAACAAACCAAACTCCAACAAGAGCAAAGATGGCAAAGTGGTCACCCGTGACTGTGACGGAGATGAAGACATTTATTGGGCTGTGTATGGGCATGGGACTTCTTGTGTTGCCAGTACGAAGAGATTATTGGCGACAGAGTAAACCTCTCTTCAGGACGCAGTTCCCCCAAAATATGTCCCGGGACAGATTTGTGGCCATCTGGAGGTAAGTTGTATTGCAATTTATAACACAGACATATGCATTATTATGCATATTAATACTGTTAATAAGTAATCATCAGATAGTTATTTATGTAATGTTTGTTCTTTATTTTAAAAACGTTTTATATTGCACATTCTCAATGAAGACATGATCACATATGGAAAAAATAAAAGGTTGAATTTTTTTTTTTTCTTTTTGATTAGTGCTTTTCACTTTTTTTTTGGAAGAATTTCAAAGATAAAATATATTTTGAGTTACCTTAGACTTTTTGTTCATCACATAATTACATGTGTCTTCAGTCATAATCTACAATGTGAATAGTGTTGAAAATAAAAAAAATAAACAACTGTATGCCAAATGTGTTAGAAAAGCTTGACAATATTTTATGTGATGCTTTCACATAAAACTAAAACATAACTTATGTTTGCATTTTCAGGTATTTACACCTTCAGAATAACCAGGCAGCAGATATCAACAAGGATGACAAGCTATGGAAAATGCGCTGGTTTCTGAATTACCTCCTTGACCGATTCCAGGCACTGTATGAGGTAGATGGCAACGTGTCTGTAGATGAGAGCATGATCAAATTCAAAGGGCGCCTCTCCTTCAGGCAGTACCTCCCCATGAAGCCGACAAAGTGGGGTGTCAAGGTATGGATAATGGCAGAGAGCTCCACAGGATATGTGACCAACTTCCAGGTGTATGCTGGTCGTGAAGGCGCTATAGAGAAGGGTCTCGCACACCGTGGGGTGATGGAATTAGTCAGACCATATTATGGGTCTTACCTGTCCATCTATATGGACAATTTTTACACGGGGGTAACTCTGTTTGACGAGATGAAGATCCATTGGTTGAACGCTTGCGGCACTGTTCGTGCCAACCGGACTGGACTCCCAAAGAATGAGAGGCTTAGAAAAAACACCTCAATGGAAAAGCACGAGTTCAGGGTAGCTCAGAAGGACGACCTCACGTTCTGTATTTGGCAAGACACAAAAACCGTCATGGTGCTCTCCAACCATCACGATCCAACTCAGACAGGGACAGTGAATCGAAAAAAAGACGGAGCCAGCCACGTCCCGGTGGAAGTGCCAGCTTCCCTCGCAGTCTACCAGAAGCACATGAAAGGTTTGTTTTGTTGGTCTTTGGAGTGCAAATGTCTGAGTTTCATGTGTGTCAACTGAGTGTTCTGTGTGTTCCAGGCGTCGATCTGCTTGATCAAATGATTGGCTATTATGGATTCAAGCATCGATCAAAGAAGTGGTGGAGGAGGGTGTTTTTCTTTTTCTTGGCTATGTCCTGCCACAATGCCTACATTGCTGCAAGGTCTGTTGGAGGAACAGCCTTCAGACACAAGTACAGAGGCTACAAACCCTGGCTGGAGGACCTGGCTGAGCAGCTCATCACACCGCACAGGACCAGGGCTGTTAATGTGACTCCTCCATCTTCTCTTCCTGCCTCACCATCTCCTAGTCTTCCTCCCTCTCCAGCTCCATCTGCAGGTAGCAGAGTAGACACACCTCCTCCACAACATGACTTTGGAAAAGTCTATGACAAGCGCAAACAGTGTAGGGAGTGTTTGCTTGTCTCGGACACTGAAAAAGTAGGTGGGCCAACTGTGTATGGTTGTAAACAGTGCAGCCTGCCACTGCACATTGAGTGCTTCGGCAAGCACTATCGTCGTTACATGTGAATCAGACTGTTTAAGTCATCAGTATGTTCTGTTCTTGTTCTTAACAGTTCATCAAGTCACTGACACAAGTTGATATTACTTATTTATTATTTTTTTCTTACTATTTTTGATTGAAAATATTAATGTTCACTTTACTTTTACATTGTTTATTTTTGTGAAGGAGTATCTAAATAAACTCAATTTCACAGGAAAGCCACAGGTGTAAGCTTTCAAATACTTTTTGAATTTTGTTTCTATCTGCTACAGAAGCTGAGATATCAATAATTTACTAGATGTTGACACAGTTGCTAAATGTACAGAAAAACTTCAGGTTTTAGGGGTATTTTTTTAAAATCGGCCATAGGTTTTAAGGTCTTTTTTCCAGGCGTTTTAGGCCTAAATGGGTTAAAACAGACCAAAAAAAAAAAAAATAAATACATTTTCATAAATTTCTGAAAAAGCTCCAGGGAGCTGCAAGGGGGACTCCGTGGCCACGGGTTGCCGATCCTGAGCTAGGGGAAAAGAGGCTGGCACAAGGGGGCAACAGAAAGCAAGACAAACAACACAACACTACTTAAATATAACTAGAAAACAACTACAATGACACAAAATGGAAAACAAACTAATGACCAACAAAACACAAAATCACAGTTTAACTGAACCCCCCCCAGAAAACTCAAAAAGAAGTCCATAAATGACCGGACCATAACATAGACAGTAAATGCCCTCGTACAATATGCAAAGTAAAGCCTTTTTTTTCCCTCCTAAAACTGATTTATAGAAACAAGGTCGTCTGCGTGTGTCACAGTGAATTCAAATGTGCCTCCGCCCCTGACTCAGACACTCTGCTGCACCTCTCCAAAATTGTAGGTGACCACAGACAGTGCTGCAGACAGGAGGCCTCTGATTGGTCAAATCTACATCCGCTCTACACAATCCTTATTTCATGTTTGGTACCTTACCGGCTTGTTTTATTTGTATGACCGCCATTGTGGAAAACGACTCGTAAAGTTGGACCAGCGAGAAGAGCGAGGTAGGCGAGAACGATGGGACCCTTTTTCCACCTGGATCCCCGCCCTTTTTCGCCCTGATGTCCCCCCACTTCCTCACCGCCTCGGCCGTATCTAGACCCACAGCTAGTTCATGATTTTCCCTCTTGCGTTGTGGCGTGAAATAACATAGCTTCAAAATTGGACATACCGTATTTTCACAACCATAAGGCGCACCGTACTAAAAGGCGCACTCTCAGTTATGTGTGCCATATCTGTATTTAACACACACATAAGGCGCACCGGACTATAGGGTGCGTTTTTTATATACAGGTACATGTCCTCTACTACCTTTAAATACCTCTACTGCATATTTAAAAATACAGCGGGGGCAAAACTGAGTATGATTGTGCTTTATTCATGTATTTATTACAAAGTATTAATCAAACTTGGGAGCTGGCCGTGAGTCAGACACATCGCAGATGACACAGCGCTGTGATCACTCCTAAATTAACTTAAAATCCTGAAACCTGCCGACGGAATATGTTCGCTTTTATTGCCGGTATCCTGGTGCCTGCAGTTAAAATTATTTAGATGAAAAACACCTGCCAGCCGCCGCGGTGAGGCTGCTGTTGAAGGGATTTACTGTCGGTGCACCGCTGGTATGTGGGGGTCTGAGCGCCTCCGACAGAAATAGATAATCTGGATGAACTGACTGCAATTATTAAGTTTTCAGGTGGACTTTCTCACTTAAAAACATATTAAAACTACTTTATTCCCACTGATCACAGCAAATATAGCTGCAAGATTTAGATTATTTAGATGAAAAAACACCTGCCAGCCGCCGCGCTGAAGAGGAGGAGACCCGCCCAGAGGCTGCTGTTGAATTAAGTTTTCAGGTAGAAAAATAGAGCGGGAGCAAAACTGAGTATGATTGTGCTTTATTCATGTATTTATTACAAAGTATTAATCAAACCCATCAAAGTCATCATCCTCTGTTTCTGAATTAAACAGCTGCGCTAAATCAGACGTGCCAATTTCCCCTTCTTCGCTGTGAGAGTCATTTTCCGTGCAGCGCAGCTCCTCAGAAATAATGCCGGCTTTGAACAACTAAGGGAGCTTGAACAACTAAGCTTGAACAACTAGAGCCAGCAGACACGTTAGTCCAAGCATCTACAATCCATCCGCAAACGGTGGCGTAACTTGCCCGGCGCTGCCTTCCACTTATCCTGAAACTGTGGTCTCCGTCCGTCATCCATCGCTCCCACGCAGCTCGCAGCCTTACTTTGAACGGCCGCTTCACACCGATGTCGAGCGGTGGAAGTTCCTTTGTCAGACCCCCCGGGATAACGGTGAGCACAGCGTTCATTTGATTCACCTTTTTTTCACAGCGGCTGTGAGATGGGCACGCAGCAATGGTGATGCGTGGAAAAAAGCACCTGGTCTCCTCACATACACCTGCCTGCATCATCTCCTCATTCATCCAGCCTTTTTCATTTGCGTTAATATCATATGTCATCAGAGCGCTGTGTCTGTCTCGCTGCCAGCTCCCAGATCAGCTTCTCTGATTGGTTGATGCGGCGCGTCCAGCAGCAAAACTTCAATTTTTCCATCTCGAGCAGCAGCTCGAGATGCGCCTGCTGCTCAAAAACGCGCTGCAGGACCTTTTGCTGCATCTATACGCGCGTCGACCATTGACTTTGCATGTAAACTCGCTGCTTCTGCTGCACCTGCTGGGTCTGGTTCACACCGATGTCGAGCGGTTGAACAGCGAGCACAGCGTTAATTTGTTTCACCATGTTTTTCACATCAGCTGTGAGATGGGCACGCATGGAGTTACATATTAACAGCGATGGTGATGAGTGGAAAAAAAACACCTGGTCTCCTTACATTCAGCCACTCTTTCATCATCTCCTCAATGAGGTGGTCTCAAAAGTCGCAGTTACAACACACATAAGGCGCACCGCACCAAAGGGCGCACCGCACATTTTGAGGGAAAAAAAAGACGTTTAAGTGCGCCTTATAGTCGTGAAAATACGGTAAATAAAAAATATCTGAAACAAGCTCACTGCGACACACTGCGGGGAGTGGAACCAGCCCTTTACATTTGTCTGACAATCCAAATGACAAGTGAGTGCAATACATCTAGCACTGTTAAAAGCAGTGGCATAATGAGCAACCCAGAATTGAGAACAGCCCCTGAATGTACATAGTCAGAAACAAACCATACATTTCAAGGTGCAGGAGGTTCAGACGTTGTAAAACATGGAGTTTTAAACCATGTTTAAAACTGTAGAAATAAAACTCCTGTAGTAATGTGTACTAATAGTGCATTTTTTTTTTTTGGTATGTCTGAGTATCAAAAATGCTAAACCTTGCGCTAACAGCCACAATGTTCTGACTAGTGAGAGTTGATGAGATAGCAGATGTATGTAAACAGTATTTGGGATAAACTCCCCAAGCTCGCCCTGCTTTTGTTGTTGACACAGAGATCAAAAAGGATACCCCCCCCCCCCACACACACACACACACCTCCATGTATAGACCCCCCTACCCCCATCCCCCCCTTGCCGTGTTTAGTCTGACGCACATAGACATCATACCTCTATAGGCTCGCCTCAGCTTTTTAACATGCGGCAGCTGCCTCTGCACCACCTAGCATTCCCTACCTCAGCTTGGTGAAAGTCAAATGAAAGACAAAGCTGCCAAGTTGCACTGCAATGTACTTTTGTTTCCACAACCATCCTGTCCGCCCCTACCCAATATCATCTTTTTTTCTCTTAACAGCTCTCCTTGAATCACTATTCTTCCCCTTCCTTCTCCTCTCTCTCTTCTTCCCCCATGGATCACAGTCTCCTCTGTCTTTCTTATCCCCATCTCAGCCTTTTCTTCCCTCCTCCATCAGCGCCTGCAGCTCCTCATCTAGGTCTATTGACATCAGTGAGAGTTTGTGTGTGATTGCTATAGTGCTGTCAGCGGCTGATCCACTCCTCCTAGGGCAATGCTAATGCCACATTAAGAATAACTTCCCCAACTTTTCTTATGAATATGAATAATGATATCTCCTTGTGGACAATTTTGATGAGCTGCTCCACAGTGGTTTGCCTCATTGATGTTTGAGTTCCTTCTGTCTCACTAAGGGCTGGGGAAGATGCTGCAGTCTTTAAAGACTGATCACTGCATATATGCAAAAAATGTTAGGGAGTTGTTTTTTCCTCTTTAAGTAGGGTTATTGTTTAGTGTATTATTTCTTGCAGTTATTTGTTATTTCTAATGTCTGCAATATCGGATAATGGTATTGTTTGGTATTTTTTGGTTTTTTATTTTTTATTCTTGTTTTACATCTCCTGTTGTGATCTTTAGTTTTTTTTTTTTTTTTTTTGTTAGATCAAGCTACACATTTATCTTGTTTGGTTTCCTTCAAGTCCTTTTCAGCTTAGTATTCTTCATCTTCCTCAGCTAATTAGCTTGATCCTCCCCAGCTGTGTCCACTTCCCTCCTGATTGCCTCACCTGCCTGCCTTTCCCCTCTTTCTCTCTCTCCATAGTATTATTTAAGAAATTGTTTTTTATGCATCTGTGCTAGAATTAGTGATGGAAGATTCAAAATATCATGGAAAATGAACAATTTCAAAAGAAATAATCAAAACCTGACGTATTGCTTCAACACATTTGATACTGTTTTGAATGGGGATATTTTCTGGATTGCTATGAGAACTAGTTTTGAACAGCTATCCTGAACAATGTTGACATTAATGGTTGTTCCATATTAGTAATACAAATTAGAACAATAAATAAAAAATGTCTGACTCATTTCGGCTTTTCGTGCAAAATAATTGACCTTCCCAAAAATGAATAACAGAACAGCTTACACAGTTAGATTTTGGGCCACAGACTGAGAAAACACTAAATAATATATTTTATTTGCTATAACTGCTACTAAATGCAGTCCGTCTGTCCCACACCACTGACTGTGCACATAAGGAATGCTATAGTTAAACCAAAGTACAGTGGCCTAAACAGCGTGCATTAACTACCCAGGTGTGCATGTCCTGTAGGTCACTCGCAGGGTGTAGCTGAGCAGACAGATGTGCTATCTGTTGCCCTTCCACAGCTGCGGGACGGACTTCATTATCTTGACTCTGAGCTCATCCAATTCAATCAAGTGATGGTGGTTGGAGAAATTAATCAGAATGGCAGGGAAACATTCATGTGCGAATTGCATGCTCTACTCGTGTCTAATTACCTGCAGCACCAGGCTTTCTCTCTTTTCACAAAAAATATGCCTTAAATATAGCCCTCCATTTTAAAATACATGTGACTACTATTTATATTCACTAAAACTAAACAGACTAAACTTGCAGTATATTGTATGAAAAATTAAAAAAAAAGTCTTAAAGCCTCACTCGAACCTGACAACAACGGATTGTCCAGTGTGACAGAAAACTAGTTAAGCATCTTTACCTTCAACAAAACACAGTAACACTACTCTTTCAGTCACTCAACTCAATCTCAGGTCTATTACCTAAACTATAATCGGTGACCGAAACTATTTTGAATTAAATTCAATTAAAAAATACTTCATTTATTCTCTTGGAAAATTCAATGTCATAACTCATAGGATTGTTTTTCGACAGTTGTAGTGATATTAGGTTGAATTTAGATGTGTTTTGATAATATCTGTTGCGAATCAGTGGATGCCTCTTTTTTGTGTACTGTGTGTCTGCCAGAGTCCGTCAATGTTGGATCTCATATGTATTATTCTAAACTACTATTCTAAATCAATTCTAAACTGTACCTAAATTTAAACTCTTACTTTCCCTGGCTCTGATTCTAACTGTAAAACGAAATTATGTTGAAACTTTGCAAAAACTCACCAGGTAAGCCGTGATTCTGATCACATTGACAAGCAGAAACAACTTAAATGATTTGAGCTTCCCTTGAAGCTCAACACATGTGACGTTAAGAGGCTTGCAGCGGTCAGGTGATGGGGGCACACCCCCAACACTGCTCAGTGACACATAACAAGAATGATCCTGTGTTGAGCAGACTGGAAACTCCTGCTCATTTTCTATATTTTTTAATAAAAACATATCTGTTAAATCTCACAGTTTTACATTTGGTTCCACCTTCGGATGGTGCCATTTATAGGAAAAGTTTGATACGAAAAAATTCACAATATTAACTTTTCAGCACATCTATCACTATTGCATATATAGCTAATGAAACCCAGTTTATCAGCATTTGTATCAATTAGTTTTGATTAGTTGCGAAATGTGAGTAGGTCTTACCCTTGTAGTGTAGGCAGCCTCTGGGTCGTCCTCCAGAACTCGGCTCAGGCCAAAGTCAGACACTTTACACACCAAGTTGCTGTTGACCAGTATGTTTCGAGCTGCCAAGTCTCTGTGAACGTAGCTCATGTCTGAGAGGTACTTCATACCTGAGGCGATGCCACGCAGCATGCCGACCAGCTGGATCACTGTGAACTGGCCGTCATGTTTCTAAAGCGAGAAAGAAACTAAATTGAATTGATTTGCGTCATTTTTTCGGCTGACATACAGTTGTAGTCTGCTGGTTCATAGATAACAGGTATAGCTGTAATTTAAGGTTTAGACCAGGATTTCAGTTGCACTGGAATCATTACAGAGTCCCCAAGGGTCCCTGCAATTCTTTAAGCTCCTGCTAACCCTGCACTCTGACCTCAGTCCGGGAGGTGGCTGAGACAAGATATATTTCTTCTCCTAGGGATCAATGGGAGGATCACGGGAACAAAGAACTGCTACCTACAGAGGACTGAACCTGCCATGGCAGACAAAACTGTCCTCTTAAACACCGAGCACGTGCAAGCCCAGCTTTCCTTGGATTTAATATTTCAGCTGTGGTTGGCAAAGACTTAGCAGCCTGTTGATCGATGATAGTCCAGCTCACTTTCCTCTGCTGATTATGTTTGACCTGGGCCAAGGATCCCTGTTAAAGAGCCATTCGTGTTATCAGTCACCTTCTCTCCTTTATATCATTTCTCCTTCTTCTGTCTCCTTCTAGTCTCCATCCATCTCCTTCTTGTCTCTCACTCTGTCTCAGAGAGGGGGAAGAGCTCAGTTGCACTTGAATTTAGCCTCTGTCTATCTGTCTCTCTTTATCTTTCTGCCTATGTGCACCTCTCTCCTCCTTTTCTTTAGCCTGTCTTTCTCTTGTCCCTCAGCAGCTGTGCAGTAAGTTAATTAGCTGGTGGTTTTGTGAGATGCTGATTGATTGAACTGTCTAACAAATCTACCAACTTCCTCTATCAATCTGCCCACCACACTGTACTGCCAGGAAGGAGAAAGGAATGACAGGAAAAGAGGTAGAGAGGTAAGGTTAAAAAAAAGAAAAGCTTATTTTTTTATACATATATTTAGATAAAACCTTCATGAGATGATAGCGGGTGTTAGACTACTAAGACAGAAGCTGGTTTTGTTACTTCAGAGGGATTTCTTCCTAATAAATGTTCATAATTAAAGACAAACTGTAAAGATACCACAGTTGAGCTGTTAAACCATAACAACTGGGCTCTATGGACACCCTATAACCTCCCTTTCCACAGGCAGTGATGTAAAAAACATGTAATTTGACTGATTTAACATTGTGTTCACCAGTGGGTACGGTTGGTAACAGTATCCTTAAGTCATTTTGTACCTTGTCACTTCATTTTGCTTCAGTGCTGCAGATGGCATCTGCACCTACTTAGAAACAGGGCCATCATTGTAGCCTTAATGGCTCTGGAGCGGTGCAGTGATTTTACTGGCTGACAAACAAGGCTGAATATGAATCAAGGGAATGTCGAACATGAAGCGCACTAGGAGCTGTGGGCCATTTATCTGGGTTTATGCAAAATCTTTTTCAAGGTTCTTCGGCTAAATCAATACAGCATCTTTGATGATCACAGCTGAAAACATAATATACATTTTCAAACGCTACAAAGAGCTGAGCATATTCATTTGCACCCCTGATAATAAGTACATTTATTTTTTTGTATTGCATCTGCAAAAAATGATAAGAATCCATCCTTTTGTATACATTTATTAAAGAGGAGGGTAATCCGATGTTGAGGAATAAATGTTTTGAAGAACAGCTATTGGTCCCTTTACATTAAATGTAACTGATCTATTTTTTTATTGTCCTTTTCAAAGACAATCAGAGTTTCTAAGACCTAGGAGTAAGTTCTGACATGTTTATTTTATACCTTGGACACAAAACTTGAAAATAATCAAGTTTATGCGGCTGGTAGCTGAAGGGAGGAAGACAATAAGGAAGGTCTTCAAAGCTTACTGTGTGAACTGTGGTAAAGAGTTGGATACTGGGGCCACAGAGGTCTCCTTAATGACCAGTAGGGGGTATTTACATGCTCACCATTTGGGAATGATGCTAGAAAAAAGCCTTTTTTGTCATCACAAACACAAAACGTAAAGTTTTGTAATTGCTTCTAGTATTGTGTTTTTTGGTTAGGTGAGATTCAGTAACAAGCACAACAGTTTTTTTTTGGTATAAAACAAAAGATGAAAGGTGGAAACACTTCCAATTTCTAAGCATTGTGAGGGATCTGTGATGCTGTGGGCCTGCTAAGGCTCTGTTGTGTCATTTGGGTGCATGTCTTAATTAATTCTTTAACAAAAACAGGACATTTCAAATCTAATTTTGGTGGCCTGTGGTCAGTATGTGAGAGGATTGGAGAAATGTGTATTTATAGCACCAGTTTAAGTAATTCATTGGATTATATGGATCAAATAAATGTAGAATCATCCTTACAATACTGTACTTATGCACTGATTCACTATCAAAACTTTTTTATTTTTTTATTTTACAATTTTTATTTATTTGATATGTGATTTGACTCAACCCAGGACTTTCCATTTCCATTCTATCCTCAGTCAGTCCTTTGTGTTTTGGACCATTGTGTCCAGCTCTGTTTGACTCCATTTTTTTTAAGGTCCTCTGATAAATAGTGATAAATAATAATTAATTGTTGATTCAGTAACAACGATCTGACTGGGTCCTGCTGTAGCAAATGATGCCAAAAGCTGAACACTTTTAACTGTATGCTACACAGTTTAGTATTAACTTGTTTTCTTGATATGCGGTACTTAGTTGATATCAAACCTTTTCTCTGTTCTTGTGATGGAAAAACAAAAATGATGTTGGACTTATCTTTTCAAAGAACATTATTGAGGAATTACTGCTGTTTTCCCCAAGGGAGCAAAAGTACAAATTTCCTCCCTCTATACTTTTGATGGGAATTAAACTTTTTCAGTGCCTTCCTGCTTATACAGACATGTACTTTCACAACAAGAGCCTTCAGATAGACTTTGTCTGACATTTTATAGTTCTTTTAGCATTTTATGCACTACTTTAGTGTGAGCAAGCTGGAGCAGCCAAACTTGTTCATGGTGGTATAAACGAGTCTGGAGGTGATTTATTTTTTTTCTGAAACTATTTTTTTTTTAAATATCAGATTTAAAGACTGTTACAATCCTTTTTCTGAAGGAAAACTATATCAACATGGTGTCCACATCTATACAGTGAGGAGGATACCAAAAACGAAATGTCTGAGGTTTACAACAAATCTTGATTTAAGTACCGAGTAACCGTGTTTTACTAATATGCCCCTGATTTGATTCAATTGTCTGTGACTTCAGTTATTCCTATAGGGAAATATATGCAAGCATTCTAACTGATTCCTCAACAGGAATACATGTTTGTTTTTACAATTTACAGAAATTAAGGGAAATAGTGTTAACATGCTTGTTATCAACTCACCTTTAGTTTTTTCTTTTATGCAGCAATTAATAGTTTAAATAATTTTCAAGTCACATGATGAAAGAAACTGAAGAAACTCTGTCTTTCAGGGAAGCATTTTGTTATAATAAACACTAAAGTATTGTGGTGTAGTCCAAGAAGGACCTGGAAGTGCAATGTTCTGTCTTACTGAGCTATGACTCACCTTCAGGAAAGTGTCCAGAGACCCATTTTCCATAAACTCGGTTATGATCATCACAGGCTTACCTAAATGAGGCACAATATAAGGCAGTCGTTAATAGGGCACAGTTACAAGGGAGAAATGCACAAACTATAAAAGATGAGGACAGAGAAGAATCAGAGATTGCAGCTGTGACCATCCTCCCTTTTCGTCTCTGCGCCTATCTCAGGGGGATAACATGGTATGTCGTCATCAGTCACACTGACAGCTTCTAATCAGCCCTCTCCATAAACGCAAGGAGATAATTAGAATAGACCAATCCACCACAATACATATATATGTGTGTGTGTGAGGGGTCTCCTGAGATCTCATGAATACTAATCAGTCTCAAGGGAAGGGAGGGGTTTTAGTTTGATCGCTGTGCACCTGCACAAGTGTGTGTTCATGTGCAGCTTTGCGGGTGATGAAGGGGAGGCTGACTGACAGCCCCTGCACCCTATGATCCCCTGCTTGGCATCTGGTGGGGCTTACAAATGATTAACAAAGTACCTGCAATCACATGTATGCACCCACACACATGAAAAACAGCAGTTGTTCCTGTTTTACAGCCCCCCCTCCCCCGAAAACACCCTGACCCCCCTGCAGTCAGGCATTGCCAATCACCAAACAAACACTCGATGTGCAGCTACAAATGATGAAGCATGGGTTGTAAACACACAGGCTATGTCACTGGTAATGAATAGTTCACGTTTTCCAAATCAGACCTCTGTGAGGCAGGGAAAGTCCTGGGGGAGGGATAAAGATAACCCAACATGTCTAGACAAGGAGTTCTGTTATAAATGTTTTTAACCAAAGACAAAGGATAGATACAGTTTAAATTATTTGGCAAATAAAATGGATCAAAAAGTTTTTGCAAAGCTCTAATATGACCCTTTTTTTAGAGAACTATGTGTAATAGTCATCGTATTATCTGATAAATACTTAGAGGTAATGTGTTATAACATGTCTTAGCAAGCAGTAAATGTAATATATGTACTTACTTAAAATATAACTGAGAATCAGGAATCCTCCTGGTCTCCTTGAGGAGGATTATTCCTCTGATCTTATTCCCTTTTACACAATAATGAAACTGCTGTAGTAAACAATAGTGCATTTTTTTCTCAGTCAAAAGGTATTTCTACAGTATTCCAATGAACTGATTTGAATATAAACTAGAGATAGAAAAACAAAGTCCTGTTTCAGCTCAAATTTCCTTTATTCAAGGTTTTGAATAGACATTAAATCCGTAAACCAAAAGCCTAATTTTGTGTGATTTAAATGTTAAAACCAACTTGTGGTGTGGCATATCAAAGAAAAATCATGACAAATAAATATAAATAAATGTAAAAAATAACTGCATCTAACAGCATATTTTAGTTTTTACCCTTCAATTGAAGAAGGAAAAGCAAGTATGGAAAATCAACATTTATCCTAGCTGCTTATATTTTTTCTTAATAATTTAATCATGTTATTTACTATAAGCATCAGCCTCGATGTGTATCCTCTAGAGAATGTAGACCACTTTCCTAACTCAGATATCTGAAAAATTCAATTCAGCTTCTAATGTTCAAGTAAATGGACTGTATTTGCATGCCGCTTTTTATATAATAACTACTTTAAAGTGCTTTGCAGCAGAGCCATGTTCAACAACATAGCGCTCACACAAAGATTCAAACACTGATATGCATATCGGTAGGGTTAAGTGCTTTGCCCAAGAGCGCCTTAACATTAGGGAGGGGAAAGAAGATTAAGTTAACACAATCATTTTTAGTTTACAAGACAACTTGTGCAATTAAGCAACAGTTACCAAGTGAGAATTTCCTTCGGCTTCCCCAAGCATATATCGACATCAATCAAGCAATGCAATCAAATAATAATAAAAAATTTTATTTTATATATTTTTCTAAGATTATTTTTTTGCTTTGGACCAAGATTTTGTCTCCATGAAGCAAGATTGTATAGCTTCAGTTTCTAATAACGTTGCAGGAAATATATCATGCATATGAATGTAAACTGTAATAAAACACTACGGAATTCAACACGAAGAGGATTAAAATGAGAAAGCAAATAAGTGAAAGGAAGATGCAATTACAAAGAATTGGAAGAAAAACATGAAAGAAAAACAGAAGGGAGAAAAAGTGAGAGATAGGAGACAGGAGAGAGGGTGGACATGAGGGAGAAGGCCGGTCACACGCCTGTCATGGACAGCATGCAACAACACCACCAAGGCCTACAGTACGATTGTAGGTAAAGACAGCAATACATCACCTTAAATGAATTCACTATCTCACCACAGAAAACAGACACACACACCCTCATACACACACAAACACAAACTGGTCTCCAGTGGTGGTGTCTTCTTTGACAGTAACATTAGTCTCAGGGATAAAAGTGAAAGAGAATTGGATTTTCTTCTGCTGGGGGTGAGGACTGCTGGTCACATTTATCTCCACACGGAGCCACTGTGTGTGTGGGTGTGTGTGTGTTTATACAGGGGAGAGCTGGTTTCAGGCCATGAGGAGTGGGGACGGATGGTGCTATAATGACAGGCTGATTTAAGCTCTGTTTAGAGAGGGAGAACATTTGTGTGTTCTGTATGCAAATGAAGCAGTGGGTCTAATGCTGAGTGAAAGGAGAACAGACTCCTCACTGCTTTCTGTTGGTACGTTTCATCACTTGTTGGTGTTTCTATCGTAAATGTTCATGTAAATATTACACTGTACAAAGTTAAAATCATGATAAATGAGACAGTAAAAAATACCCTTAAAACCAATTTATGAGTGACTATGTGTGCTAGAGCAAGCATGTATGTTGGAGGTGACAAAGAATATTGCCTTCAAGGTTCAAGGTGTTAGCTGCGCTCAAGAGAGAAGCACAATGAAACACATTTATCTGTTGTCTGAGCTCACGAGCCACAAGATTTGAGTTTGTTCCTCACAAAAACATGTTTTTAGCAATAATCTGTCATTTGAAATTAGCCCAATATATAAGATTGTCTTTTTCTGTCTCCTGCCCACAATTACCTATTTTTACATCTTGCACCATCAACACAAGCCTCTATTCTCTCTCACACACACACAGAAACACAGACAGGACTTCACCCACTTCAGAATGTCATGGAGCTGTCTTCTGCCAAAGACAAGCACATTTCAGTTTCCTCCTGAAAGCATATAATTAACTGATCACATTGATATTCATTGCAGTCTATTATCTTTCATCAGCTTGGAAATAAAGCTGCTATTTTTGCTTCTAAAAAAAGACACTCAGTGTGTGCAGGCTCTGGAGCCAAAAGAGATTTTGGTTAGGAATTCATCTGGACACTGCTTGGCGACAGGAATTGGATTGTTTTGTATGCAAATGAAGCAGTGGGTATAAATCTGACTGAAAGGAGAACAGACATGTTTCCTGCTTGACCAGCTGCAACTAATAACCAACCTTTGTTTTCCCCAGTTGGTGAAAGTGCTACAATTAAGCACAAGCAGGACACACTCTTTATTATGCAGGTTGTTATAGTTGTTATTATAGACTCAAAGGTGTTCAAAATGAAATCAGAGAAATACAGGAGAACCTTCTGTTCCTTAAGGTGACTGATATAGAGACGACTTTCCAAACTAAGAATGCTACCTTGCAGCAAGAAGGGTCTTTATGCATGGAGTTTGCATATTCTCTATGTGCATCTATGGGTTCTTTCTGGGTACTCCAGCCTCCTCCCACAGTCCAAACCTGACTGTTAGGTTAACTGGCTTCTCTAAATTCTCCTGAGATTTGAGTGTGTGTATGAATGTTTGTTTGTTCTGTGTGTCTCTGTGTTGCCAGACGTTGGACTGGAGACCTGTCCAGGGTGTACCCCGCCTCTCTTCCATAGACTGATGGAGATAGGCACCAGCACCCCTTGCGACCCCAACAGGGATAAGCGTGACAGAAAATGGATGGATGGAATAAAAAAGGCTAAAGATAGTTTGAAATGTCCTTTTTTAAATAGTAAAGATCCTTTTTTAAAGCAATTTTATTCAAGTACAGCATGAAGTCGCCTCTGTTTCCTATCTAAACATCTGTTGACCTCTAACAGCAGTGAGCTGTGCATAAAGAAATTTTAAAGCTAATTACATTTGACAGAATTAAATTGAGTTGTCTAAAATAAGGGTGAAAAAAAATCAAGACTTTACAAAAACTGGACACTCGAAATAGCTCACACAGCTTTAATCCTTGCTTTTCTTATTTTGATGTCTCACTTACTAATAGACATCAAAGAACTTTTAGTTTGCCGCAGCACTTTATTAGTGTGGGTAAAAGAGGGCTGCCCTCCTCTGATAATGGTCTAATCATTTAGGAGTGGCACCTATGTGTGAATGCGTTTATAAGTCTGCAGACTAAGCATACGGTCTAGCAAATTACATTATGAGAGGTGGTTTTAGTTTGTGTTGGGGGGAGCGTAATAGAAAGTGATAGACTCTGTATACATCCGGACAATTACATTACAAGTAGATATCTGTGCTTGTGCCACTGGACCACATTACTGCTTTATTGAATGAGGCGGCCCAAGGTACAAACGAGAAAATGAAATAACTGCTGTATTGATTAATGTTAAGGGTCTGGACTAAATGATACAAAGCTTTTAACACAGGACAGATCTCTGTTCTGGGAAGGGCCATGTACTGCTGTGGGGGCTGTAGAGAACGCAGAGAGACAGAAACTCAATAACCTTATCTTCTCTCCTCTCTTCACCTCTCCTTCTACCTCTCATTTCCTCCTGTTTGTCTCTTCAGCATCTCCCCACTTCCCATGCCACCATAATTTAAACTCAGGGCTCATCTTCGCTCAACTCCTCACTCTTATACCTTATCTCATCCCCGCATGCCCCCTTCTTCCCACAATCCCGCACTTGTCGTCACCTTTTATGTCCGTCCCATTTCCTCTTGTGCTTTCCAATCTTCAAATCTACATGTGTATTCTAGCATGAATGGTTTAAAACACTGACAGGAAACACTAAAATGCTCATTGTTCAGCAGACAAAAAGGCAAAGTTAAAGCCAGTCGCTAGTTTTTTC